CTTTGTCCTCTTAGTGAGCCTGGCCCCACACCGGATTATGTTCGTCGTTGCTATCTAATTTCGGGCAATGAATCCGACGAGGATCAAGACAGTACAAAAAAGATCCAGCAGGACACAAATACCCCCGTCAGACATCTAATCCAACAGCATGAGTAGCGCAGAATGAGGGGTGGACGACCATAACAGGTGTGGTTCACAGCCCTCTGTCCTGCCTGGTTACCCTGCCTCTGCCTGTTTAGACGCAAACTGTCACAATAATCCCATCTGGACTCGCCGCCCTCCAGACGCAAGAGTGTTGCGTCGGCATCCGGCGATGGAGACAAAAAAAAGTTAAGGTTTGGACTAAATATCCAAAAATACCAAAAGGGAAGACTGAGGAACTGTACAACATAGAGATCAATGATGCGCCACGTTTTGTTGTTCTGCTTCGCCAGAGCTAGTTGAGGAGACACTAGGCTTACCACTTGGCCACAACAACAGGTCGGTTGCACAAGATGACCGCACCTTACATGACAGAAGGACGAAAGGAGTGAGCTGAAAACATCCCAGCATCGTGAGAAAAGCTGTGCCCGGAGTCCAGGCGACCAATTGCCAAGCGCAACAAAGACTTCCAAATATCGTCCTGCTTCGTTCTCTGGCTCTCCACTTGTTGGTGATCAAGGTCCGTGTCTCGTCTCAAGAACAGACATCAAATCACAACCCTTCAAAGCAGCACAATTATCGGTCAAAAGCCCCAAAAATGTCTAAATTTAATCTCACCGGCAAGAAAATATTCATGCCGGTAAACACATCATTCATGCCATATAGCGTGCCAGCTGTCAACCGCAGTTGCCAGGTGGTTCAGGTTGGCCCCCGAACTACAAATACGCCCTGCCGTAGCGTCTCATACACACCAAGGCTCACCACCACACCATCACGCCCAATCGACACAAAAGCACGAAGCCCTGCACACCATCTTTTCCGCTTCATTTTTTGCACAAAAGCCCTCACTTTTTTCCGCGCACAAAGTCGACTGTTCTGCATCAGGAAACGATTCGTTGAGAGTCATTTGCCGCCCCTTTTTTTACTCAGTGGTCCGTTGCGTTCAGTATTCATGTCCGTTGTCTTGGACGCCATATACGATGTAAGATACCACCTATGATGCACGCTGTTTTGATTCCGAGACTAGACATGAGCGTCGCGTTTTAGCAACAGCATTGTTTGGCCGTCTGACAGACGCTCCTGGGTATGGTGCATCCCATCCTCCACTCCTCCTCATCTCCCTCCGCGTATTGCCAGAATTGTTTTAGTCTTGCAAGGTTCGCAATGCAATCCGTGGTGCTCCGGATGTTGCATCTTACGAAAGCGATAATGTTTGGACGGAGTATATTTCAGACTAGGCAGACACGCAGGACACTATATATCATAGGCGGGCATGAGTCCCCACCTCCTTCTGGAAGGAAAAGGAAAGCAGCCATTGTCCATGAAGTTCTCAGTCTCCCTCGTTGTTGCCTCTTCTTCACGTGGTAGACACAAAATCGCACGGGAAAGGCGGAATCAGCCATAGAGTGGTGTATACTCTATATTGACATGGATAAACAGAATTAAGGCAAAACCGCTTGGACAATAATCGAGCATAGATCACAGCAGGCGTTCAGAGGCAATGATGGCTGTTCGTAACCCCGTATGAAAGGAAAGAGGGAAACGTTATTCCGAGTGATCGAATAATAACGGGACACCTGGACTGTGCTAATTATATTATGTACTGCCTTGTTGCGCCATTTAAACGCATAATTTTATGTATCATACAGTACATTTAACTTCCTGTCATGGCTTATTTCACTGTGCGTTATAACCGGACGGCTCGGCGTCTTCGTTTGCCAGCTACTAGTCAGTAGCTCGAGTTGTGAATGTGTTCACACACACGGATCCTTAAAGGCTGAACACGGGGGCCTGATCGCTCGAGCTCGTTCACAGCGCGTTACCAGTCGTCACCAGTGAAAGGTGATGTTCTGCACGTCACGCGTGGCCCAGCAGGCCTGAAAAACGGGCCGCTTGGAGGACGATGTACGCCACATGTTTTCATAAACACGACAAGGAAGGGTCACGGAACAGGATGACAAGCATCAGACAGCCAACCAAATCACCAAACAATGGAATCAAGCCACAAATGTAGTAGGATAAATGGCGATCCCGATGTTTGGAGGAAAACGTCCGGCGACGACGAGACCGGGGCATTTACTTCGGTCAGAAGAGATGGGGGTGCGGGATCAAAGAGGCAAATGAGAATATGAGTCAAAAAAAATAAATCACTGCCCCCAATTCCTTTTGCTAGGCCGCGCGGAATGACAAAGAAATTTTTGGCTTTGCTTTCGTGTCTCGCGCACGCCGTTAACATCGAGGCCAGTGAGGCCTGGGAGGGTTGCTAGGGCCCTGGCCTGGGCCTCCAGAGCCTAAATTAGGCAACTCGGGGAACCAGTCAGAGGCAAGCACAGCCTGGTCCAACCAGCAGCCCACATCCAGACTGTTCCAGCCAGGGCCAACCAGGGCCAGCCACAGCTAGAATACCAAGAGAGAAATCAGACAAGACATCGACCGAGGTCCACAACACAACGGCCAAAGAAGGATGCGCACACCGAATGATTGGTGCGGCTGTAGCAGTTAGGAAGCGATTTTTTTTTTTAAAAAAAAAAGTTTTGCATTCCTATTTCGGGCAAAACGAGGCCACGAGGTCAGGGATAAAACAAAACAGGAGAAAAGGTCAGAGCAGAAAGCAAGACAATATTCGCGAGGCGAGACCAGAGCCGCAAGTGACGCCAACGGCCATACCGAACTCTTGTGTCGCCAGTGTAATCTTAACTCTTTCTCGTGCTTTCCGGGCTTCTGTCGCAACGCTTTGCGCAGCGAGCTAGGTCCCTGCACGCCGTGATTGTCCGTCGCCGACTACGGATATGGGGGGTAGGGTTGTAAGGGTGTACGAGTGTCAGGATGACATGACTCCTTGTCGCCATCCTTTGGGTCTTTCGGTGCTCTTCTTTCTCCAGAGCTATTCTCAACCCGTGGGCCGAAAATAGCATCTAACGCTCACGAGATCGGATCCAAAATCACGAGACCGGGTCACGAAACAACGCGACAACCGGTGCCAGGGAAGGAGCAAAAATACAAATAATATCTCGTCAGGCTGACTCATTTTAACAACCTTTTGAGGAAAGTCCAGCCACCATCAGTCTCGCCGCTTTTCCCCAGTCTTTTTCCCTCAGTGACCATCTTTGTTTACCTTCAATGTCCGATTTCGCCCGGCACCCCGAAACTCGCGCTGTTGACAGGTGCTGCCTCTCGCTGGTGATTCGAAACAGAGCTGTGCTCGGTTTTCCACGGTCGCCCCATTGTTCGCCTGACAAGTTCGCTCTAGATCCCCACGTAATACGCACTACTGGGCAGGACAGTTCGTAAGCACTCCATATGCGGGGCGTCAATGCCCAATGTGGAGAGACTTTCAGAAACGGCGTCTTCCTTGCCGCCGCGTTTTGTGCGTTGACATAATCCAAACAGGCCACGTAAAACAAGATGAAGCTACTCTCAGTTCGTAAGGATATACTCTTCGAACTGTTCTTTGAGAGTTGCGCTCCCATCTGAGAAAGGGGAATTGAGAGACTCGGGCCACTGATGCAGTTAATGGGAAAGGCGCACTGGTATCTAAACAGGAAGTTCCATGAGTAAGTTATCACAGCAGCCATGACTTTATGGTTATTCGGTCTCAACGTGCCCCACGCGAGGATAAAACAAAAATTCTCTTCGAAGCAAATACCGCCCTTTCGCTGACCGGGACAGCACGGTGAGCCTCACTACGAATAAGCCTAGATATCGTCGCTATCGTGGCTGGAATGTGCTGGTCTTTCAAGGCGAGCCTCACGTATATAAATATGGCCAGCTATAGACTGAGTGGAAAGCCAATGCGTTTGTAGACGGCAATATGAGAATAGTCTCGATGCATCTTCTGTTCCGTGTTTTGATTCAAGCTCAGACGGCATCGCCTATCCTATCTATACTAAACCTTGTAAGCAAAGTCAACAGCTTCCTGTCACCAACCAAACGGATATCGACAAAGGGGGAGCTTTCAGCTGCATACTACATCTAGAAAGACCCGTCACATTGTAGTCGTAGTTTTTTCAACCCATATATTTTCTGGGGTTTTTTTTTCGGTTGGAATTTCTGGTCGAGAGAGATTCACTATAAAAGTATCAAATTTTCATTCTGTGACGCAATAATTTCCACCAAAATTAGACGAGATAAGTACGCCTCGATATTTTGTCGTTTAATGTAAATATATTGTAAGTTTCACTGTACGTCCTAATAACCACAAACAAAGACTAAAGATCCCAGCTTGCCAGGAGACCGCAGAAGCCCAGAAAATGCAATACTTATCAAGTACCACCGTGAAATGCGTCTGCTTACTTTTTGCGGCATCATCTTAACTTTAAGCACATAAATGACTACTGCCATATTGTTGCTTGCTACCTGCCATCATATTGTAAGGTCGAGGAAATTTCAAGTTGTGTTCTATGTCATGATGGGCGAGTGAAGAGATAAATATAAACATCGAGAGAATATGACGGATCACGACCTACATACCAATTCCCAAACACGGCCTTCCACTGAATTCAAATAAAAAACTTAGCTAAACTTAAGAGCAACCATAAAATACCGAGTTTCTTTAGGCTTCCGTAATCCTGAGAGAAATCGTTTTTTTTTTGCGCCTTCCACGACTTGAGATAAAAACCCAGAGACAGAGAGATTTAAAAAAAAAATAATACAAGCAAAAACACATACGACAACGGTTAGAAGAAACAGCAAACGGGCACAGAAACAAGGCCGAACATAAATCAAGCACCACAAAAAGAAACGACGCGCGCGTAAAAAAGACCATCGAGACGAGGCTCGGTAGCATCACTTGCGAAAGCAATGTCCCAGAGCCATCAACTCTCAACAATCTACAGCGTCTGGCCTTCCATCATGCCGACTTAGTTCGCAACAACCTCCTCAGCGCCAGCAGTGTTGCCGCCGTCCTTGAGCTTAAGGCCCTCCTCGGGATACTCAGGGAAGGTCTTCTTGAAGTACTCCTCAACAGCCTTGAAGCTCTCCTTGTCCTCCTCAGTGCTGAGGAACGAAATACCGGCGCCGTTGGTGCCGAAACGACCAGCACGACCGACACGGTGCTGGTACGTGGCAACCTCCTTGGGCATGTCGTAGTTGATGGCCAGGTTGATGCGCTCAAAGTCGACACCACGGCCGAAAATGTCAGTGGCAACGCAGACACGCAGGGTGTCGCCTTTCTTGAACTTCTTGTAGACGGCGTCACGCTCCTCCTGCTTCATATCACCGTGGATGTAGCAGGTGGGGAAGTTGAACTTCTCCAGCACCTTGGACAGCTGCTCGGCGCGGCCACGGCTCTTGACAAAGACCATGACCTGGTTGATGTCCAGCTGGTCAAGAATGTCCACAAGCTTGCGGATCTTCTTGTCCTCCGGTAGGAAAATATGGAACTGCCGCACGCCGTCAAGGGCCAGCTCGACATGATCCTCAACAAGGTGCTCCGTGGGATTCTGCAGGAACTTGCGGCAGATGGGCAGGATCTCCTGGGACAGGGTGGCCGAGAACATCATGACCTGCTTCTGGCGGGGAGTGGCGCGGAAAATGTCCTGGACATCACGGCGCATCTCTTTAACGCAGGTGAAGGGTTAACATCTTGTTTCAAATACGTTCATCTTGGGAGACAGAGAGGGAAGTAAACATACCAACTCCTTCCAGCATCTTGTCGCACTCGTCGAGCACGAACATCCGGACGCTGCCGAGACGCAGGTGCTTATCGCGAACAAGGGCGTTCAAACGACCGGGGGTGCCGACAACAATGTGGGGGTGCGTCTCCGGGCTGCGGAGAATCGCAATGTCCTCGGTGACCTTGGTACCGCCGTAGAAGACGCTGGTGCGGACCTCGGGCATGTACTTGGAGAAGCGGTTGTACTCGTTGCGGATCTGGAAAGCCAGCTCGCGCGTGTGGCACAGAACGAGAACCGAGCACTCGCCGTCGACGGGCTCGATCTGCTGCAGGGTAGACAGCACGAAAATGGCTGTCTTACCGGAGCCAGACTTGGCCTGGCAGATGATGTCACCACCAATAAGGGCTTGGGGAATGCAGGTTTGCTGGACTGTAAAGTGGGGCGTTCGGATGTCAGAATTGCTTGTTTTTGAAAGTAGGGAATCAAATTGGACGCAGATGCTGTGTGAAATCGTAGACGAAATCGGTAAAAGAAAACCGAGGGGGAGGGGGGACAAAAATGAGAGTGAGAGAAAAGAGGTCCGTCCACCAGCGAAGCAAAGACGGAAAGGGCAGTGCTGGTCGTCTTCAGCAACACTTTCGAGGGAGCCAACATTAGAATCCAAATTTATGTAACGCATAGGGGCCAGCGTTCGGATGGGTTTATGCGGCCGTCCAAGTACAAAAGTCTTCCCCGAGAACTCTCGTGCTCGGGGATAGAATCTTGTATCTGGCGCTCGCTCGTACATCATGTACGCATGGAGTCACCCACCCTCGTTTCACGGAGGGGAAGGGAGCAGCGCGACAAGGATGCAGGCGTTTCGCTTCCGTGCCAGAGTCTGGAGGTTCGGTCTTCGGTAGTTCGCATTTCTGCAAGTAGTTGCGTGGAGCTGGCCTCGGCCATCACGACCGAGACCAGCCTGCGACGCACGAGACTTTTCCCTACCAGCTGCAGGTCCTTGTCAATGTCCACACCGTCGCTCTGCTCCGTATGTGAGCAAACCGAACCGTCCGCTGGCTCACGCTCCAGTGGGTAGAGGCGCTCGTTGTGTCAAATGTCGAAGGCTCGAAACTTCTTTTCCTGACGTAGAAGCCGACGCATCCACGGTCATCAAAGGCACATTTCAGCCCTTAAGATACCGATCGACGAGTGATTGTGGCCGTTCCGATTACAAATTGGACAAATGGCCACCGTCATTTGCTTGTCCGTTGTTCGGGTCACCGAAAGAGAAGCTATTACCGCGTTCTCCTCGGATCCTCCTTGGATACTTGGGACTTGCGTCCCGTTCTCGTGTGTGCCATGGCATTCAGTGCCTTGGAGTCTCCCTCCATAATCCTCTCTCTTGATCTTGTGCGTATCTTGCTTTTGCTTTGCGACGATGGACGGAGCGCTCCGAATCTCTTTTCTCGTAGGGGAACACGGCCGCAAAGAAACGGAAGTGGGTGATGAGGGAAACCAAAAGAAGTGTGTGGAGCGAAGAAAGAAAGAAAAATAAAATGCTGGGATATTAATTGTGCCTCTCGTTCTTGAGGAGCAAGGACTAACCATCCGAAGGATGTTCGAAACCGCAGTCGGCGGTGGCGCGGATCAGCTCCGGCTTGAGCAAAAAGTCACGGAACGTGGTCGAGTAGATGCCCACATAACTGCCGTTCTTGGCTGTGGCGTTGTTACCGGAATCGGCAGCGGACTCCGGCGCGTCGGCGTCGGCAGCAGCCTTCTTGGGGGCGGTGGTGTTGTTAAGCTCGTCGTCCGAGTAGTCGATGAAGTCCTCTTCGGCAGACATCTTGGCTGTTGTTTGCGTGAGAAACGGGAGAATACAAGTTGCAACGTGTTCGTGAACGAAAAAGAGCAAACGGAACTGAAAACAACCGTTTACTGTGTCGTGGGGGGCGAGACGTAAAGTTGGCAAGGTCGAAAAGCTGTTTTGAAGGTGAACAAAGCTCAAAACACGAAATATGTGACAGCTGTCGCAAAACGAAGATGCTGGAGAGAGGTGAATTGAGTCGAAAGAACCGTTGGCAGATAGACGAAACCAGTGCGGAAAGCAAATAGACAATGGAAATACAGGAAAGGTGTTGGGTGGCAACAAACGAGTCGTGATATGTTGTTGAGGGAGAAAGAAACTGAGCGAAGGCTGAAAGCGGGAGAGCCAGAAAAACAAGAAGACAAGGAGGCTACAACGCGGCGCAAAGGTAAGGGGGCGACAACAAGGAGGCTTAGGCCGGATAAATAAATTATCCACTTCCGGAAAGTTGTTGCTCCCCTGTTCAGCCCAGACCGTGTCGGGTTTTGCCACTTGGTCATGTGATATTTTCACGTGATCTTGCCATTGACTGATATTTTGTATGAAGTCTTGTGCAGAGCTCGTTGACGAAGCTACGTATACTTTGCCAATACAAATTACCATATCCTCATAGGTGCAAAGATGGCCAAAGCAAAGGGTGCTGCTGGAAGTGCCGTCACAAACCGGCCAGCGTACTCCAGGGTGTCATTTTTGTTCCAGGCTGCCACTCTGCTTGCCGGAACACAGTCTGCAGCGCCTTCGACGGAGGTCCAGGCAAAATCCAACATTGACGACAAAGGGGATGATGGTCAAGAGACAGCACCGCCTCAACTACAAGGAATGGCTCGCTACCTCTTGATGCAGATGCGATCTGTGTCACGCAAGACCAACATGCGCCTGCGCCCGGCCATGAAGCACAGTGTCTGCAAGTACTGCGATACGCTGCTGGTAGAGGGCGCGACATGCATATCCGTTGTGGAGAACCGCAGCCGTGGCGGGCGCAAGCCATGGGCGGACGTCCTGAGCGTGACTTGCACAACATGCGGGCGCGCACGGCGGTATCCAGTGACAGCACCGCGGCAGCCACGACGGCCGTTTCGCGCCGACGAGCCTGACAAGACGAAAGTGACGGATGATGCCAACGGCCAACCGGCAACCAAGGATGTACACAAAGTCCAACAGCAAGGAAAGGCGCAGGACAAGAAATTGGCGGTTGTGTCGTGCGGCAAGGAACAACCGCAGGGCACAAAAGCAACGGCGACAAAGGGACAGAACTCGAACCAGGCCCCGGGATGAAAGGCACATCGAACTACAGATGAGCATCTACTTCGCAATACGCCAACTGAATCAGGGTCGCCTGCATCTCCCACTATGAGGTACGCCACTCCTCCCACCACGATCAATAGCCCGATCGCCTGCCGGGTGCCCACCAACGGCTACAGAAGCCAAGGGCACAGCACACCTTGGACTACGAGGCATGCCGAGTGCCCTGGACGTGCAAACAATGAGGAAGCCAAGCTTGAAATCAAAGCTCGAAGTCATGGAGGAAATGTGCAAATTTTGCATACCTCATCAAGGCACTCTCATTACGACAAAGTCATCATGTACTGTATATACACACATCAAGACAGATTCGTAAATATATCCAAAAATTCGAAATATACTATCGCATTTCTTCGTATATCGGTGGCGTAAAAGGCAGCCTCACTTCGATGCTGCGGGTATCAAACTCTCTGTGTCTCTTTGCCCAATGACTTCGCGTTCTTTATTGTCTCTGGTCATCCTCGTGCGAAGTCTCCCTGCCGCCATCTTCGCCCAAAACCTTGCTCGCGGCCATGAACCTGGCAAGTCAGCCAAGCAAAACCAATTATGTGAACAGACAGAGCAGGCATGGTAACTTACAGGCCGGCGTGCCAGCTACCGAGCTCGCGCAGGTAGCCCGCCTGTGCTGCCGTGACGCGCACAAGGCTGTCGGTGTCGGCGAGATGTGCGGAGAGCATGCTGAGCTGGGACTGGAGGTGAGCCTGGTAGGAGAGTCAGTAGGATGAGAGAGAGCGCGAGAGCCGGGAGGGACATGCGCCCACCAGTTGCCGCGCCTTGACAGCGGGGCCGGAAGCCGTCGCCGTCGTCGTCCGTGTGGTGTTTAAGGTTGTGGTGGGCTGGTTGTTCATGTTTCATGGGTTCGCGGAGTTTCCGTGCGAGTTTTGCCGTTATTTTGCGTTGCGACCGTATCAGTTGTTTCCAAAACTGTTCGAATCTGCGAGTTGGCGGTTAGTCTGTTTACGCGTCTGTCGCGTCAGTTTATTGGCTTTGAGCGGGGTTCTACTTGGGGCGCCTGTGGGGCGGGGGGGCATTGGCGGTCGGTAGTGGATACAGTAGTGTAGGTCGACTGGAAGCCCATCTGCTGATCTGCACACACTTTATCGTCAAACCCATGAAATACTGAGCGATGGCTGCAAACACGCTCTCTTCGTAATAAGGTTATGAAAACTCCTTTTCCTTTATATATATGTTGTACTCTGCTTTGAGATAACAAACTCGGATTGTAAAAAAACGAGTTGCGAGGATAGACAAAAGATACGCAAGCTCGATCAGACCACGGAAGGTCACAATATGAAGCCAACATAACATTCTAAGGATATTTCATAATGAAGACAACCGACAAAGACTTCTCGTTATGATACCTTGCGGATGATCTACTTTTAATATATTATACGGAGTATATCGTACTCCAGCCGGATATGCTGTATATTAATAAACCAAATGGAAAATGGCATGAAACCTCAAATTCCGGCTTATTCAGTTCAGAGACAGTAGAAAGAATGGTTGGACAACTCTGTAACTTTCAGTTAAAACAAGACACGTCTACTCTGCATTATGTCCCATTTGCTGTGTATCATATATGTATCGCGCTCAATGTAGGGAGAGGGCAGATGAAGCCCAAAATTATGAAGGAAGAAGTACAAAGTGTTTTTGGTGAAACAAAAGAAAATGTTAGGAGAGAGAAGACATTAAGACAAGAAAGGAGACAAACTCTCGAATAGACAAAAAAGGCGTAGTAACAAATAAAAAGCAAAGCCCGTGATCCTCTCTTTAATGCAATTATTGCCAGAAGCAGTCAAACAACAAAAACCAGATACAAGACAAAGGAAACGATACAGGAAAAGAGAACAATAAATGATACTTGCTGCTTTGTCATCCACAATAATAATACCCTATGTACTGGCAAGGGCTCTTTCCCAACCCGAGGTTTGGAAAAAGGGCCATTCAGCCAATGAATTTATGTGTTGCCCGTATAGTGTTGCTGTGTATAGAAGAAGAGTTATAGGAAAAAGTGACAAGAAAAAACAGGTGAAGGAAAGGTCGATAATAAAGAAAACATTAAGCAAGAGCCCAGACAGTGCGTTTCGGAGGTGTTCAACGGCCATTGGTGGTAGCCCTGGCGTCGGTGTGGGGGCAATGAATAGAGGCTCACTGGACCTTTTTCAGTGTCGTGTCTCTGCAATGGTGGCCCATTTGTTTAGTGTGAGGTTAGGTAGGTCGGTGTGGTTCAGATTAGCTCCCGTCGGTCGTCGGCAGTCTCGCCGTTCGTTTGAGACCCATAGGGTCTACATCTTTACCGCACACCAATCGGCTGGCGCGGTCCTAGACTGCTTTGGCTGCTGTTGGCGGAGGGCTCCGAGTCAAGGTGGCTCTCACCACTCCCCGCGCTAGCACTCGCACTTCCCGTCAGACTTCGCACATTTTTTCCAGAAGGCGGCTGAAGAGGGCTCACCCCGGCGTGTTGCTCGACTTGTTGTGGTGCTACGGCGTTGCCGTGACCGGGCGGGTACCGAGGGACAGGCTGGCGCATGCCGTCAGGGGGCGAAGGACGACCGTTCATCGGCGGGCCGCCAAAACCGTTCGGGGGCGACGGGCGGCCGTTCAATCCACCGTTCATGCCACCGCGAATAGATGGGCTATACTGGTTGGCGGGTGACTGGCTGGCCCGACGCGGATAGGGACCGCCCATGTTCGGTCCCATAGCGCTGGCGCCGCTGATCGAGCCCATCGGACCCATGTGGCCCATGGGCCCCATGGGCGGGCCGTTCGGGCCCGGACCGTTGCTATACTGGAGCTCGTCAAGGCGCGATGCGGTTAGCGAATTTGTCCGGGAGCCGGCTTGCATCTGACCGCGGTCAACGTTGGCGTATCTGTTGGACGAGCATGACATCAAAGGATCGTCGAAGATGTTGGAGTGAGCAGTAGGCACTTGATCAATAATCTGGCTTGAACGGTTCCGGACGAAGCTGGGTCGGAAACGGCTGCTCCTAGAGCTCGGAATGGAGCCAAGATCGCTGTTCTTGCGGAACTGTGCGCTGTTGGTGCTACTGGGCGCTTTGCGGTTCTTCCGGGAGGTGACGCTCATCATGTCGAAGTTATCGGCGTCAATAGCGGGCATCGGCGGGCCGCTCATACCAGGGTCGAAGTAATCATCATCCTCATCCTCATCATCGTACACACCAATACCGCCGCCGTTCCGCGAAGGAGGCGCTCGTCTCTGCTGTGGCGGTTGGGGACCACCACGGCGCATCCTCATCTCCTGCTCCCGAAGAGCCAGTTCACGCTGCCGGAGCTGGAGCTCGCGCTCGCGGATGGCAAGATCTGCGTCCTGGGGGAATGGCGCCTGACCTCCCTCGGGGATATCGTTGTAGAGGACCAGGTGGCTGAACTCTTCCAAGTCTGCACCTTCCATAGAGCCACGCCTAGACTGTTGCCGTGATCCGGGGTAACCGTTCGGTGGGCCGGGGCGCCCGTAGCCGTTGGGACCACCACCGTTCATCGAGATGGGTGGGCGGCGGCCCGGGGGCCCACCTGTCGACGGGTTACGGCCGCGCGGTGGCCGGCCACCCATGCCGTTCATACTGTTGGGCATACCATTGAGCATACCGTTCGCCATTGGCCGGCCGGTGTTACTCTGGACAGACATTCGCGGTGGCAAGTTACCAGCAGCCGTGGGCGAGCCGGGAGGGCGCGTAGGGTCGCTCTTAGGTCGTGATTGGTTGACAACGTTTAGGTTGTGAATAATGGCATACAGCGACTCGATCCGCGGAACGGCAATACCAGCCTCCTGGGCAAGCCGAATCGGAGAGCCAAGGTAGGTCTCCACCTCCATGGGTCGTCTCGCCATGAAATCCTGCCACATGACGCTTTCTGAGGCCTGCGGGTTTGTCATCTCGGTGATTGTCTGTTCCTTGAAATCGGCGGGGAACTTGCAGCCTTGCGACTCGGCAAGAGCCACCAATTCATCGAGAATGCCCATGATCATCTGTCGCACGCCGACCTTCTCAATGAGCTGTGCGTGGTTCGCTGTCTCGAAAATGACACTGGTAGGATGGAACGCGATGGGGCTAAGGGTAAAATACACGTTAGCATTGCATATAGCGTTCAGTAAGGTAGCAGGAACCGACAGGTGATTTTCCAACTTACCCAATCAACCTTTCGTATTGCTGCTGGCGGATATTCGGTGACACATTGCATTCGACCTGGCCGGAGCTCAGAGTCATGGCCAGGGCTTGCGCCATATCTTCACGAATGGTCCGAGGAATCCGCTCGTTCAGACTGTTGGTGGGGCCGACCCAGATCTCGGTCGAGCCCTTATGCTCAAAGTCACTGGCACCGAGCTGGACGACCTCGGCCTTTGACACGAGTGATAAGACGACATTTGTTGGGAAGCGTTCTTCGATGGCGGCTTCGACGCCTAGGCTGTGGGTGGTGTTGACGAGAATGCAGGTGTGCTGGGGTGTGACGACGGCGTCAATGATAGTTGCCAGGTCGTAGACATCGGGGAGGGCCTTGATGCAGAGGATGACATAGTCGAATGCGCCTTCTCTACGTGACGCGGCTTCTTCTGGAGACTTGACGACATGGCGCGGCTTAAACCGCTCGTTGCCAAATATTGATGATCTAGAAGCATTCGCGCATGTTAGTGAGCTGGACAGAAAGTAGGGAGCGTTAGGGAGGGTGTTGGGATGATGCCCGGGAAATCGGGAGCCTCAGTGCGCTTTGCGCAATATGTTGGCTTCGGCACCATTTTGACTCGACTCGTCTGGGCTGCGGAATGAAATAGACTGACTTGAAAGATATGCCGTATTGGGCGACGTGTTCGAAGCCGGATTTCCACACGAGAGTCACATCGCAGGCGTTCGTGGCCTGAAGGCGCCAGGAAAGGAAAGCGGACACGGCATTACCTCCCACTGTGACCACATTCATTAGTTCAAAGTCGTCCTCCATGGTCGACAACTAATCCGAAGATT